AGAAAGAAAGAATCTTGACTCTGTCACAGTGCAGTAGAGAAAGATCTGTGTTGCAACAAAAACTGTGGAAAGAGAAGGGAAGGGGAACTTGGTGACAGAGACCTGTTCAGTACTCCCGGTGGACTGGTTTGAAACAGAATACTCCAGTGTACATGGGAATTAACAACAACAGCAACCCATAGATCCGAGTGCTGTTCCAGAAATTAAAGAGTATTTTCCCAATATAATGCTTTCTTTTCTACTGAGCTCTCTTGACCGTTTCAAAAACTTTAAATTTTATTTCAATATATTTTCAACATAAAATTGTGCTTCACATAGTGGAAAAAATATTAATCTCCCAACTGAATATCTCCTTTCTCATTCTAAAACTAAATTGTTGTTATTATTATTATTGTTGTTCTTGTTATTATTATTTGGGTTTTTAAAGACAGGGTCTCACTATGTGGTGAGACTGACCTGGAACTTATTATGTAGCCCAAGCTGGTCACGAACTCACAGCAATCCTCCTGCCTCAGCCTCTCGAGTTCTGGGATTACAGGCATACACCACCATGCCCACCTCAAAACTAAATTATTATGCAGTTGCTTTTTATGCCTAAGTCACTTATAGTTGTAAGTTTATCGGCATTTAATTGAAAATATATGTGTGCATTTATTTAAAAAGGACACATAGGTGATGTTGGCCATCTTGAAAACCATTAGCATTCAGTCATGTGACCTAATGGATTGACGAGGGGGGTCATAATCCCCAACAGGAGCTCAGAGTCCATACCAACGTCCACAGCTTGCATTAATAGGAATGATTTTTGTTCTCACTCCCACCAGTGGACAAGCCCCTCTTTTGAGACTGTCCCAGGAAAGAGAAGAGTTGTCATTTTTAAATCCTTCCATAAAAAGATTTCTAAAAAGTCCCTATTAAGTAATTCATTGAATAGAAAATCCATATAGAAGCTCAATTGCCTAACATACTTTTCTTTATTCTTTTCTGTAAATCCACTTCCTCTACTCCTTCTTTATCTTCTTAGTGGAGATGAATTGCATCTGGGACTTAACCCTGTGCAGAGCACCATGTATTCTTAAGCTAAGTGTTCACAGATGGGGATTAATTCCTTTAAATACTGACGGAACAAAGTATACTACTGGCTTCGTAAGCCTGAGCTTTCTTGCCAAGTTTTAAAAAATGGATGTTTAGAGACCATAGAACTCATGGTTTAGGCTTCAGAAATATATTAGTTTCCCCTTTCAAATGTATATTTTCTAACTGACAATTATGCATTTCTTTGAAAATGTTTATCATGTAGTCTATTTGTGAATATCCTTAGAGGCATCTCTGCTGGTGAAGCCAGTTCTAAGATTACCTAATCTATGGTGAAATTCTCAGTAGAGAATTAATTGCCCACAGGTGTAGATGACAGGAACACCTTGTTAGTTGAGAAAATGAGTGTTAGTCTGTCTACTGTGAGCTCCAAACTCTCCTTAGGAATATCATTTCATATATCAAAGCTGATGACATGATAAAAATGTTATAGATTGGTAGGTTTTAATTCACTTATGCAAGAAAAATCAGAAAGATTTGTAGTAGGTGCAGGTCATATCTTTAGTTCAACAAATATTTATTGTCTGCCCATTCTGTAGAAGGCACTGTGTTTTACTTTTCTCTGATAATAATTCCATGGTTGCAGATTACACTGCTATGTGCAGAAGATACTAAATCTGCGTCATGTAGTACGGGCTTAATTTGGTTAAAACCAAGATGACTTATAGTCTAGACACAATATTCCTGGCAGCTTTGTAATGGGCTTAGGTGGCTCTTAGAGTACAATAATGCAAAGATTGAAGGAAGCTATTGCTTCTGTAATATACTATAATTTGACTTAGGCTCTGCTTAGATACAGTCATCAATAACTCAGAAAAAACAATTTCACATCTAAGCATCACCTTTAATGACCAAAATGCCTAGACTGTGGAAAGGAAAGTGATAGAAATGCAAAGTCTTTCTTCCTATTATCCATTATCTTTCTTTTGCTAGTGATTTCACTAATGACTTAAATTCAAATTTTAAAGAGCATAGCTGAAAAAAAATGAATATTAATCATCAGTGGAGTTAAAGAGCATTTTCAGCATTGTTAGTATTCTTCATAAACTTAATCTGAACCGTTAGCAAATAAATAAATACTGTTAAGTAGCAGTGTTCTTAAATTTTTCTTTTAATCACACTGGATCAGAAAAATTTGTCCTTATGTAAGGATCATATAAAATTTTTCAATTTTTGTACACTACACATACTTTTTAACATATCTTGATTCTTTTTATTCCCTTCCCCTCTGCACCCATCCCTCCCTTCAACTCTAGATTTTTCCCCCCATTTTCATCATTATTGTTATTATTATTTTAGCTCATGTTCATCCTGTATAATGACTACCTTCATTGTGGATATTTGCTAAACGTACATGACAAATCCCCTCCTCTGCCTTCTACTCATTCACAGGAAGATCTACAGTATCTCCTTGAGTCTTTTTATCAATCTTATTTTGCTGTTTATTTGTATTTTTGCATGACTCAAAAGACAGAAACCACATGGTATTTAAACGTGTGTGTCTGATTCCTTTAACATTATGTTTTCCAGTGAATTCACATCCTATAAATGTCTTGACTTGATCCTTCTTTATAGCCAAATAATATTCCATTATGCATAGATACCGTATTTCCTTTATCCATTTGTCTGTTGACAGATGTATAAGTTCTTTTCAAGATTCACTTAGTAGGAATGGTGCTGCGATAGTGCTCCTTCAGGAGCACATATTTTATGATTTCTAGGTCTCTGCTATAAGCCTCACTTCTGTGCCCCTTAAAAGTTAGATAATTTTCAAACTCCAACTGCACCTTATGTAAATTGTACTTTCTGCGGGAATACTGTGGGTGAGTCAGTTTGTAACAGGACACTGACAGCTCATTGTATGTTCGATTCTTACTTCACAAATTCACCTAAACGCAAATGTGTTACGGGAATGCAGTGAGGGGCCCAAGAGCCATCTCATGGTGTTGACCATTACTCTGCTTCCACGTTTTTCTCTGGGTTATTCTCTTTTGACACTTTTTGGACAGCACAATGTATTGAACAAAATTTGACCCTTCACTTTAACAGTGGCCCTTCCTTGCATCTGGTGCATTGTACCTCTTTTCCTACTGAGATCAGGCAGGTGTGTGTGTGTGTGTGTGTGTGTGTGTGTGTGTGTGTTTTATTATTATCATTTCTGGATGGAGCTGTATGCACCATGGCAAAGCAAGACTAATTGAGAGTTTCTGTGTGTCCTCAGCCATGATGCATTAAGATGCTAAACATGAACAGCAGGGACCTGTAAGTTCAGGCTCTCGTAATTCATCTCACTAGAGTAGACAAGTTGGGGGGAATCACATCAACTAACGCACTAAATACACTTGATTCTTGAAGCATGGTCTTGGTGTTTTCCTTGCTTGCTTGCTCCCTTGCTTCATTCAAGGAACACGAGGGTGGCCTTGTGCAGTTGCTGTGATGGCTGGGAATTTAAAAGCACAGCCCCGGAAGCCTAAAGTGTTAAAGCAGTAACCTGAGAAGGAATGAGATTATCCTGTGAAGAGGTGATAAGCAGGAAAAGATGGTCATGCACAGGGTAACCAGAGAAGAGAAGTTGGGGAGTGACCCTTTCACACTGCGGCAGCGGGGCTGTGGGAAAGGGACAAGGCTGGGAGCTGGAGATACTGTCTGGGGAAGCAGAAAACAGGACAGCATGAAGAGGCACAGGTATGGAGAGTGCCTTCCCAGCCCCGGGGAGCGCAGTGAGGCAGGTGTGGCTGGAGCACCTATCGCCTTAGAGTATGTGTAAACTGAGCGAGGGTGTGCAACGGTGGCAGCACCCATTCCTGAAGAGATGTGCTAAGTATTCTAGACTTAGTGCCAGCACTCTAGTGCTGAATCTTGCAGAGTTAGGCAGTCATCTGAGGAAGCGGAAAGGTGGCTGTCAGGTGGAATGAAAAGAGATTCACACACTGCAGAAATGATACAAACAAAGGAAGGCGCATAATGCTTTTCACATTGCTCCTTCCTTCAAGAAACGCTGCTGCCTGTCTCAGTCAGATGCCTACCATTGTCACAGTGCCCCTGAGATGAAAAGACTTCAGGGGGACGCACGGTCTGAGCAGTACCAATCTACAGGCAGATGTCTCCCTTGTTTTGGGCTTGTGGATGGCAGAAATGTCACGGCGGGGAGAATTTCCTGAAGCAAACCTGTTCATCTCGTGGCCCTTGTGCAGAGAGGGAGAGAGAAGGAGGCTGGGAGAAGGGCTGGGGCCCTGATATGGCCTTGGAGGCTACGCCCCTGTGATGTAGCTGCCTCTCAGTAAACCAACCCCACCTCTCGAAGTTCTAGCTCCTCCCAGTAGTGCCTCAGGTGGGCCACCAGGCCTTCAGGACATGGCCTTGGGGGACATTCAAGGTCCGAAACCATCAGCCTTATTTTAAAGGATCGGCCACATGGGAACTGAGGAGCAGGTTCTGTGTGTCTGCAGGGAGGAGCTCTCCAGGATTGCGGCCAGAAGAATTGCTGGCGGTGGAGAGTGAGCGAGGTTTCCTCTGTCAGTTTTTCAATAACACATGTCGGTTTTTCTGTCAGTTTTTCAATAACATATGAAGGATGAGAGCCCTCAAGTCTTCTTGTTTGTACTCTGACAGCAAAAACATCTCTGTTTAGCAGCCTTCCTTGTGAGCTGAGCAGAACTCAGCGCAGACCTAAAGGTTGGGGGCAGGTGCGTGTGTGGGAGATGTTTTCCATGCCTGGATGTTCGTTGCAGTTACTGATGGAGAGGAATCTTCTACAGAAAGAACGCTGGGGTCACAGACAAAAGACTTAATATTTCCATAGGGAATACAGAGAGATAATGAAAAATTTAAAACTACTGGGCCTTCCACCCAAAGTGGAAACAGGCTTCACACAAAATGTTAACTGTTCACATTTCATATTGCAGGATAATATTATTTTAGGCCTGTTTCTGTGCCTTTATGTGCAAACATTTGGAGAGATCAGGCAAAATCCATGGAAAACGTGAGTTTTTTTCTTACTCTTTTGATCATATTTGCCTCTTATGGACTTCATATAAATGGAATTATATTGTACAATGTTTTCACATTGCTTATTTTGTTTAATATTATGCTTGTGAGATTTTTTTACCTTCTACGTGCAGCGCTCTTGTTTTCATTAGTGTACAATACTCTGTTCATGAGTAAAACATAATTTACTTGTTCACACTATAGTTGATAAGTATTTGGGTAACTTCCAGTTTGGGATTATTGTGACTAGCGCTGCTATAAGCTCATGTAATGGTGAGCATATGTACATAGTCTCAATGCATAGCTATGAGTGGAGTTGGTCATTGGATCTCTGAGTCTTGCTTTAGTGAATTCTGTCAGTTTTGCTATGTTTTACCAAGTTATATTCTTGCCAGTGATATTGGCAAGTGCTACTTTTGTCGGACCACATCCTTGCTAAGCATTTGGTGCTGCTTTTGTTTTGTTTTTAATTAATTATTCTGGAGAGTATGAACTAGTATCTCATTGAGGTTTTAATGTGCATTTCTTTGATGAATGACCTATCTTTTCATATTATTGACAATTGAATACACTCTTTGAAATGCCTTGTGTAAGTCTTCTGTTTTTGGGAGGTTTATATTTTTCTTAGTGATGTGTATGAGTTCTTTTATATTCTGGGTTGATATAGTTTGTTGATATCTCCTCTTCCTTTCTATGGCTTCTTCATTCATTAGCAATGTCTTGAAGAACAGAAAATTTTAAAAGCAACAAGGCCTACTTTCCCCTTTATGATCGTTGTTTTCTGTAGCTTGTATAAGATTCTTCGCTTATCTTCAGGTCCTGCAGATACTTCTATGTTACATCACAGAAAATGGGTTATTTTATTTTTCACATTTTAGAAATCAGCTTGGGGTTGCTTTTGGGTTTTGTGTGAGATGGGACTTTAGATTTGTTTCCCATTTACAGAAAGCTCTCCCTCTGTGTCTTTTCCTCATGGGGTATCACCTGTGCATGTATCTGTGAGTCTGTCCTTGCACCAACACCACAGTCTTGATTTCCATGGATTTGTAAGTCTTCCGGTGGTTTAAGGTCGCCCATTCTGCTCTTCAAAGTCATTAGGGCTAATATTAATCATTTTCATTTTCCTATTAATTTCCTAATGAATTAATATGAGTTACTGGTGCACACCAATGAATTTCCCCTCATGATGGGGAGACAACAATTTTCATTATATCTAGGAATAATAAGCAAAGAAAAACAACAACAACCCTCCAAAAAAACAAATGACCGTATTATTGCTGCAAGTCTTGGCTAACTTCTCCTTAGCTACTCAGTGGAACTTAAGTGAACTTGGTTAATAAGTTCTGAGGAAATTGTCCTGTATATATCCTGCTTAAAGACATTTAGTTGTTGTCCTTATAGTCTTATTGGTTGCTCTACTACTTGCAATATGTATCTTAATTTATCACAATGTACTTCATATTTATGAGCTAAATATGATAATTTTGATCCAAAAGAGCAATATTTTTCTCTTTTTTTACCTTGTGTACTGACTATCATTTAAATTTCATGATATGTGTTATAAATCGAACAACACAGACCAATAATTATTGTTTTATATATAGGTAATACATAATTATAACTTTAAGCCTTTTAGAGAGGAGAAGAAAACAGAAAAAATGTATAAAGCCTTTTGGTTGTCCATTTACCATTTCTAATATTTTTCATTTATTCTATAAATTTAGGCTAGCACCGAGGACTTCTTTGAATGTTATTTTGTATTTCTTTCTTTCTTTATAGACAGGGTCTTGCTACATACTTCAGGCTGGCCTTGAACTCATGGTGATACTCCTGCCTCAGCCTCCTGAGTGCTGTGATTATAGGCATGCACCATCACATTTGACTTTTGGGGTGTTATTTTTAAAGCAAGTAAGCCAGCAATAGATATTCTTAGTCCTTCTTAATTTGGGGTGACACTTCTTACTCTTCTTTACCCTTGAAGGATAGTTTTGCTGGGTATAGAATTGTTGTTCAACTGTTATTTTTCTCACAGCACTATTATGATCTTCCACTCTTTTTGAAGAAAAGTTAACTGCAAAAATATTACTGTATATAATTGCCCTGGGAATATAAGCTTGTTTTGCCTTTGTGTTTTAGTATTCTCTTTGTTTCACTTATTTTATAGGTGTGGATCTTTTTGTTTTGAATCTATATACAATTTCATTGATTTTTCTTGGGTTATGTATCTTTGTATTAACGATTTTCATAAAATTTGGGAGGATTTATAGCTCTCGTTCTTAGTAGTTTCTTTCTCTCTCTTTTTCTCTCTCTGCTCCCTTTCCTTCTCCCTCCATTTTCCCCCCTCCTTACTCCTTGCTCTATTTCTCTGACTTCCCTTACACATATTTTGGTATACTTCATATTGTCCCATATGTCCACTGTTTTGTTTAATTTTTCTTCAATCTTTTCCAGATTGGATGATTTTCATTGATTCACTCTCAAATTTATCAATTCTCTATTTTGCCATCTCAAGTCTGCTCTTAGGTCTACATGCTGAGGTTTTCATTTCAATTATTATAATTTTTAACTTTATAATGTCCCTTGGATTTTTTGTTGTTTTCTTATTTCTATTTCTTTACTGAGTTTTTTTTTTCTATCAGGAAATGAATTGTTGTCATATTCTTTTATAAGTTTGTCTTAAAACTTGGAAATTTGAGGCAATACATTGTGACATTTTGGGTTTCTGATTTTTTTTAATAACTTGCCTCCATAGAATGTCCCTCTCCATGTTGTGTGGCTGCTGATTTTTTTTTTGCTACACTCCCTTTTAAAACATATTTCATTCAATTTGGCTCCCTAGGGGATAACTTGTGTTTGTACACCATAGATCAGTAATCAATCAGTCAGAGGTTATGTTGAGGTTGGCTTGTGTGTGAGTTGAGGAATGAGTTCAGAGTTTAAGGAGCTTCCAGTCTTCCCCAGATTTCTTTTCCTATGAGGCCCTGTTGGGTTTGCCCTGCACTCCTATGCCTGTCTCCTCCTTGGCTGCAGATGGTACAGGGACCAGGCCCTCTCAGGTCTCCCCTGTGCATGGGTACAGCCCATGTTCAGCCAGCGATGGGGAGCAGGGAGCCCTCTATGGATCTCTCCCTAATGCTTCCCCTGTCCCAGCCCAGCAGCCTTCTGCTCCCCCAAGTGATCGGGACAACCTCAGCCTTGTGCAGCTCCAGGCTCTGCTCCCTCTGTGTTCAGCATTCTTATCAATAGCACTACTGTGCTTCTCAGACATGATTAAAAAAGAAAAGCAGCGAGTGCTGCTACCCAGTACCATCAATAGACAGGCAACCTGGTAAAACATGGCAGCATTTCCTCATCCACTTGGTTCACCAGATCTAGCACTGTGCAACTTCCAGCTCTTTCCCGAAGTCACAGTGCCCACAAATGGGCAATGCTTTGAATGAGGACATCCAGGCAGCCATAATAGCACAACTAAAGACACTCACAAAAGAGGACTCCTCGAACTGTTTCAGAAAGTTGCAAGAACAACGGCTGCCTTGGAATTGAAGGGCTACAGATGGAGAGGGGTGATGGCAATGTGTCTGTTACTGCATTTAATACATTTAAAAATGTAGCCACATTTTTTCATTCACACCTTGTACAATATTTAAGGCTGCAGAGTTTATAGTTGTGAAGGTCTGCACAGAGTACATAAATACTTTGGAAGGAGAACAGATAGATATCTGATCTTTATCACATACTGGTGCTTCATATAGTAGTGCAAATGAACTAGCTAAATAGAGTCAAATTAACAAAATCTAGAAATAGAATATAGGGTGAAAAGAGCAATTTCTCAGAAGACTTACACAATGATATTTTCATGAACCATGAAGACAAGCAAAACTTTAGCAACAATACATTTTTAGAATCATTCAGATATGCAACTATAAACATAAGAATATGAAGGAGTACTTCTCCATTGTCCAAAAAATAAAATAAAATAATTCTATTCCAGTCAATCACTTTGGAAGAAATAGAGGAGGGAGATCAGAGTGCTGGGTGAGGTAACAGGACAAGAGCACACAGCTGATATAAAGATATAGATTTCCAGTTGGTACATATGACTTTATTTTATATCTGAAGTATATTTTCATATAAACTTTTTTGGCAGTACAGAGGACAGAACTCCAGGACTTTTCTCTGCGGTAAATCCCAGGCCATTTTTTATTTTTTAATTTTGAGATAAGGACTCTCTAAGTTGCTTAGGAGGGACTTCAACTTGTGATCCTCCAGCCTCAGCCTCCCAAAGGTATTACAGGGCTGGGATTACAGTATGCATCACTGCAACAGGCTCCTTTACATGGCTTAGAACCAATTATTAGATTAGAATGTTTGGAATAGCAAAAATATAATCATCCTCCCCATAAAAATAATTCACTGAAAAATTCACATATATTTCTCTCTAGGAAAGAAGTCCAAAGCACATCTTGCTTTTAGGAATTTTACCTCCATTCTCTATCTGCATCTTACCCTAGTGTTACCTTTCTTCCTTCGGACCATCCCTCACCCTTTCCTAACCCACCCATAAGCCTGTAAACCATTCTGTTGTCACAATCTGCTCTGGTATCTGTGTCTTTTGCACAGCAATTTAGGCCTAGACACTGGTGGACAATGAAAAACTCCCTGTTCTTTTTCTATCTAAAATATCATGTTTATTTTATCTTACAATCAACAGGCTAGTCAGGCCTCCTCTACAAACTATGTCCTTAAATTGCTTACTTTATGTAAATGGCGTTTTCATCATGTATGGGGTCAGAGACCTCCTTCCTCAGATTGACAGCCGTACTCCTGACTTCAGTTGAGACACCCAGCACTACGTGTTGAAAGGGTTCCAGAGACACTGGAAGTTTCCTTTTATAAATAATGTGCTGATAATTTTTATCATACATTGGTGTTCCATTTGAAGATTTTTGAATCTCTTTCTATACTATTACTCATATGTATTTGCTGATATAGTGA